AACAATTGAAGAAATCAGCATGGCCATCAGGCAAATCAAGAGTGGCAAAGCAACAGGACTGGTCAACATTCCAGCAGAGGCACTGAAAGCAAACGTAGCGGCAACTGCAGGGATACTCCACATTCTCTTCAGCAAGATTTGGGATGATGAACAAGTACTAACAGACTGGAAAGAAGGACTTCTGGTCAAAATACCAAAGAAAGGCGATCTCAGCAACTGTGATAACTACAGGGGCATCACTCTACTCTCAATACCGGGTAAAGTCTTCAACAGGGTATTCGTTAAACAGAATGAAAGACTCCGTAGACACCCAATTTCGAGACCAACAGGCAGGATCCCGTAAGGATAGATCGTGTACAGACCAAATCGCAACTGTACGGATAATTGTGGAACAATCAATTCATCACTCTACATCAACTTCAGTGACTACGAAAAAGCATTTGATAGCGTGAACAAATTTTATTTATTTCAACACATAGATAATAGTACAAAGAGGCACCAAATACATATGCACCACACAAATCCCATTCGATGTGTGTGAGGGTGCCCAAACCAAAGCAGGTGGTTTTCTTAGGGGGCCACACCCCGAGCCTTCGACCTAATGGTCTAACCCACAAGGTAGTGGAGCATCGTAAGGAGATGCAGTCCCATGTCAGCCGGTGACCAACATTCGGTTCATACGCCATTTGTTCCCGAAGGATACTGTAGCTCATGTGCACCATTGGTTTGGGATCCGAATAAAGCGCCGGACATTCGCTTTTCTTCCTCTCATTTTCGTAAACAACACCCCCACCACGAGAAGGCAGTGAGTAGGACTTCCCTGGCAGAGGCTGTGTGCGCGTGGCCGTGTGAGAGCATTTCGAGAGGGAGAGTGGATTCTCCCCACTCTCGGCCGTACCAGGGTATTTGAGGGAAGCTTCTCCGATACTACGGCGTGCCTCAGAAGATAGTCACTATCATACGGAATTCCTATGATGGATTAAACTGCGAAATTGTGCATGGAGGTCGATTGACAGACTCGTTCGAGGTAAAGACCGGTGCCAGGCAAGGTTGCTTACTCTCACCCTTTCTCTTTCTCCTGGTGGTCGACTGAATCATGAAGACGTCAACATCTGAAGGGAAACGCGGGATACAGTGGGCATCTAGGATGCAGCTGGACGATCTATACTTCGCAGATGTTCTGGCCCTCCTAGCGCAATCGCAACAACAAATGCAGGAGAAAACGACCAGTGTAGCAGCAGTAGGTCTGAATATACACAAAGGGAAAAGCAAGATTCTCCGATACAACACAGAATGCACCAATCCAGTCACCATTGATGGAGAAGATTTGGAAGATGTAAGAACCTTTACATATTTGGGCAGCATCATTGATGAACATGGTGGGTCTGATGCAGATGTGAAAGCGCGGATCGGCAAAGCAAGAGCAGCATATTTACAACTGAAGAACGTCTGGAACTCAAAACAACTGTCAACCAACACCAAGGTCAGGATTTTCAATGCAAGTGTCAAGACAGTTCTACTGTATGGGGCGGAAACCTGGAGAACTACGAAAGCCATCATCCAGAAGGTACAAGTGTTTATTAACAGTTGTCTATGCAAACTACTTCGGATCCGTTGGCCGGACACTATTAGCAACAACGTACTGTGGGAAAGAACAAACCAGAACCCAGCGGAGGAAGAAATCAGAAAGAAGTGCTGAAAGTGGATAGGACACACATTGAGTCAAGCACCCAACTGCGTCACACGACAAGCCTCTATATGGAATCCTCAAGGCCTACGGAAAAGAGGAAGACCAAAGAACACATTACTCCGGGAAATGGAGATATACATGAGAAAAATGAACAAAAATTGGACAGAACTAGAAAGGAAGGCCCAGGACAGAGTGGATTGAAGAATGCTGGTCGGCGGCCTATGCTTCATTAGGAGTAACAGGCGTAAGTAAGTAATATACCTTTATTTGTTTAAATTCATACCTTGATCTTAAGTCCCTTAGGTTTCAGGTACACTAAATGATGTTCATGGAGCGGTGGCTTAGTGTTTAAACGATTTAGCTTTCTAAAACTTGGGACTGAATCCCGCCTCACGTTTTGTGGTTTTTGGAACTGGACAGTATTATATACACGATTATTTGATAACATTCGTTTTTATTTTACATTGTGTGGCTTGTATATCTCTTTTTATTCTCATTTTCTGTATTTTATTTTCAAACTAATACAACAGCTCACCTATGGTGGAAATTCTGTCCTTTCTAACCGGTCTTAAGTCACTGATTTATTGACAGTTGAGTGCTACCGCCGAATACGAATTTTGAATCAGCCTTCCTGAGACCACGTGTGCCATTCAAAATGGCACCCGTCAGCGTCCTCACACTAATACAGACCGGACAAGTGATAGAGTTGGGTATATCTTTAGGAAGTCCTAACATCGAAAAATGTTTTCTATCCGATACCCCTATTCAGGACTAGTAAAGTACGACAAAATCGCTTTCTATCAATCTATTTGAAACCGCTGCGTTACATGAGTTTATTCGAGGATCCTATAGCATGTTCATCTGTTTTTTTTTAAATTTGTGTCTCACTGGTAGAAGCAATACTAATCGATTGGATTCCCACTGACGGTATTTAAATTTGTCCGTACTGTAATTAGTGGGAGACAACGAAGAGAGACTGGGGTGTGTCCCTATCTTCTCGAATTCCTACTGATTGGGTATTACATGAACTACAACACTATCCTTTCATTTCTAAGAATTCTGTCTCCATTTTCTCAGTATTCTCCCCTAAAATATTCATTTATCCAACCTAGAATTAAACAATTGTTTAAGCGATTCTTTAACCCCCTGCGTTTATTATCTTTTATTGACCCCACACAAAGTATATACAATTTTGCCTTTTAAATGCTAATTTGTTACTAGGTTTCAAGCAACTTTGAAGTGTTATTTGCTCTCGCATAATTTAACATCTGGATTGACTTTGTTTTTCTTACACAGCCGGCTGATATAGAATTGATGCGTCTTTATGAGGCAATCGATGAAAATAATGAAGTTGGGTCGATTGACTTTTCTAATGCAGAACAATTAGTAGCACTAATAAATGACGACGAAAATACAGATGACTTAGATGATCATACAGGAAGGTCGGCGACCAAATCTATGAGTTCTTTAAGCACCACGGTGAAGCGAGCATTCGTCGCCCATGTTCCAATCTACTCACAAGAGCAGGTGAGATTAATATTCAGATTTCTATAAAATAGTTCGTTACTTCCTTTAACCTTACAACAAACGCAGATGCTGTAATGTAGTAGTCTAAATTATTTATAATGTATTTTATAAACATCCAATGCGCCACACATTGTGCATGCGATGTGATCCAGACCCAACTTTATGTTGAAACACTGTATGTAGCTTTGAGACATTATGCATTTATCAATAATCTTATTGTAAAACCTCCAACACATAATGCATACAACTCGCCAATCTGTGTTTTGTACCTTTTTTTATCAAATAGCATTCAATTTTCTACCACTGATTGCAGGCTTGTAAAACACTTACCATCAATTTTTAAAATTCTTTAATTACCCTTATGATTATCACGTATTTGTATTTGCAGATTGAAGCGGCACTAGTAGCCCAGCGCAAACGTGAAATTCTTGAGAAATATATGTCTAGTGATCTGTTAGAAAGTATGGCACAAACTGGGGAAATCCTTGGCTTTGAAAATAGTGATGAAATAAACTCAAGTTATCAAGTTGTAAACGACAGTCATTTTTCGTCAATCCCGACAACAGATTCCAATGTTAACGTTGACTTGGATACAAATGAAGGAGAGAAAAAGAACTAATACTTTATTTTGTGGCCTTTAGAATGTATATTTTTGTACAAATTTCAAGCATTTAAGTAATGCAATCAAAACTCCGTGTTTTTTGCGTCTTATTTTACAATGGGATTTGATAGTAATTCCGTCAAAAACATATATAAAAAAACTATCTCAGTGACAAGTTTGGAGGATCCGTAAAAATCATTTGTGATCTCTTGTACTATTGTATGAAGATATGTTCTGAAGTGCAGGATAATATCACTATGTCCCGCTTTTGTTAGCAAGACAACATTCATTTATCGTTGCACTACCTAGTACAATCACCGATCCCTGAATATGTTATCAAGTAAAAACAAGTTAATATCAAATATTACTTAGTAAACTTATATTTTTATGATTAGACTGTTGCATGCAGTTCACTTTCCAGTGATCAACTGTGTCCGGCGCTTTAACCGGGTTGGTGGACACTAAGGGTCCACCTAGGGGAGTTGGAAAACCCTCATTCCAAACTAATGGTGCACATGGGCTCCAGGATCCTGAGCGAAAAAAATGCGTATGAACCAATTATTGGTCACCGGCTACCAAGGGACTGCATCTCCTTACGTTGATCCAATGGACTGGACCTCCAGGTCAAAGGCTCAGGGTGTGGCCCCCTAAGAAAACAGCTTGCTTTGGTTTGGGCACCCGGGTAGTATCACAGCCCTCATACAAATCAAGTGCGACTTGTGTGGCGCATATGTGTCTGGTTCCTCATTGTACCAGTATTTATGTGTTCAAATAAATTGTGTGTAAGAAGAGTTATAGTCTTTCAATTCATAATTTATCCCTCCCTTTGCCTTGCATTTAAGCATATGCAGACAGTCGTAATAACGGACATTAGAACTTTATTTTTCATCGTTGTTCGGTTGAGATTGATTTCCCCTTCATTTGTCACCTATTGTTAAGCGAAAGAGCTTATTGCTCTTAGACTTGGATAGCGTACGGTAACGATTTTATAGGTGAGATCACTATTTTGGGTTAAATATATTCTATATGAAAATAATTTTAATCTCGTATTTACTCCGTCGGTTGGTCAATGATCCTGTTCTCTGAAATCTATCCATATAAGATTAGGGCATTTGTGCCACTAAATATTAGCAGTTCATTCGCCTTAATCATCAGTATGTTATAAGACCATCTTAACATGATTTTAGTTTTAAAAACGTAGTTGTGATTAGTTACTGTGATACCTTATCTTGTTCGACGTAATTTCCCAGTAGACTGTTTACTGTTAAGTTTTGTTCGAAAATCAGGAAGTGACAGTCTTTATTTAAATTTTTTGGTATGAAGTTGTATGCAATTACAATACGTATCAATGAGGTTAATATAATGTATACAACTCATAGTAATCAATTTGTCGGTCGTAAATATTGACGATGTAAATGGAAGAACTTTGTACAATTACCAACCGAAAAGATGAAAGATAAGATCATCCACAGGATATTCTGATGGCGAGAAATGAAAATTATGAATGAACAAAAAAGGTAACAATGTAATGGTGGATGCATATCGGAAGAACTGTCAAGCAATCAGACTATGTAAACTCTCTGGACTTCTGAGGCTTCAAATGTTTTCCCTGAACGAGGACATGTTATTGTTCCATCTGGACGTGTTAACTCAGCGATACCCTACAAAAACAAGTAAAATTAATAAAACAAATAAAATGTATTAGATATTTTACTATATATTGAAAATTACTTCCCAAGGATTTGCATTAGTATCTTGAACTAGATTTCAGCTTTAATTGATTTGTAGTGTTATGTGACAATCATAGTTATGAAATATCGACCTCACTCCCCCTAATTTACACAAATAGATTAGTCATATTTAATCTTAACTTAAGTGTTTAGTCCTGTATTTTGTGTCTTCGGAATGCCTATCCTCTTTTGAGCTGCATCTCAACTTCATTAAACAAATGGTGTCAAATCTTTATCACTGATCATATTATACGGTGTAACTTAATTTTGTTTACAGCTAGTGAAAAGCCTTGGAGTAGAATAAAGTCATCTTATTCTGAGGATCTAGTCACTCATTTTGCACAAGACTTCATACACAGTAACAGTTAACTTGTATATTGTGATGGATTGATACAGATAAGATGTTATTTCCATCATTATTGAGAAAATTGTTGATAACAACCAAAGAATGTAACGCTCAACTAATCATTTCCCAAACGATACATATTACAACTAATTATGCACTAAAACTAATACTGTGTTCTGTATGGACTTGTTCACAAGTCGTTCAATTATCGTGGGTCTTGATCCAGCTCTACATTTTTAACCATGTTATTTTCTTGAATCCTTTCAAAAAAGAAACTTATCGAAGAGCCTATATACCTAGCACGTCAGGAGCAAGTGAACTTAAAAATACACACAGAAGTGGTCAGATGCAAAAGCTTGTTATTTAGGTCATTGCTGAACATTGATCCTTTCGAGGCATTTAGGAATAATTCTCTTCATGATGCTTGCAGTGCTATCGCCTCTGAAAGCAATGTTCACATGAGGTGCTTTCTTTGATTCATAGTTTGTTGATACTTTAGGAAGTTTGGTCTTCATATTATCTGTAATGTCTTTCGCGCTGTGTGCTTACTCACTCGGGGTTTGTTCGCCTAAAGGGATACCTAAAATATAAGTATCCGGAGCATACTCATGTTTTGCCTCGATATGCTGTTGTCTTGAAAGTTTTCAGTCAGCTACGACGTCGGACCAGACCGGTCCAAGTTCTCATACCTCATCAGTACAAGATGAACACCAAATTTATAGAAGCAGTTACTTCAATGGTAGTAAAAACAGGTTTCATATAAAGATATGATACAGGGAAAAAGAATTAGTTCGTTGAAAGATATAAAGCAATTTTAATCTCACAGGTTAAGTGACAACAGAGAGTGTATCCACCGACGCCATTGTGATCGATTCTGGGTCATGTCACCCAGCGTCTCCAACTATTGGTTACGATAGTCATGCAAACCCCAATCAAGTAGTCTGCATCTACCAACATGGCTAAGATTAGAAGTTAGTGACTTCAAGGACTGATGCCACGTTTTGGTTTGGCTGTCCCTAACTTTCTTCCAACCATCCCCGACATTAGTTAGCATCGCGCGTCGTGGTAATCGGTGTTCAGGCATACGTAACACGTGGCTCAACCATCTCAGTCGATGAAGAATTACAACCTCATCAACTGACTTACCATCATTCCATAATATTCTACGTCTAACCTCACTATTACTTACCCGGTGGTCCCAGCAAATGCGAGCAATGTTTCTGCGACGTTTATGCTCAAACAATAATAACTTACGACTATAGTGCACCCTTAATGGCTACGTTTTGCAGCCGTAAAGTAGAAGAGAACAAACTGCTGAGCAGTATACTCGTCCCTTAATTGATAGACGGATATCTCGCCTTCGTCATAGGTGACGTAAGTTTGCAAAAGCCAAACGAGCCTTTTGAATCCGTGCAAAAATTTCGTCAGACAACGACCCATTAGGGCCGATCAGACTTCTAAGGTGAGGTTGTCGACGCGTTTGACTAGTTCACTCCCTATCCTCAGTTCAGGTGGTGACGCAGGCCATTCCTGGAGCAACAGCTTGCATTTAGAGGGAGAGAAGCGCATCCCAAACATTCTGGCATTGTTGCTCAGTGCTACCAAAAGACTGCATTTTATCAGTGTCTTCACCAAACATGAATATGTCTTCTGCATATTCTAAGTCGATAAGTGGATCTCCTGGAAGGAGATCAATGCCCGAGAATTCAGTGGACGAGAACGTTGTTTCCATTAGTATGTCTGTGGTGAAGTTGAACAGAAGTGGAGATAGTGGACGGCTTTGTTGGACACCACTTGAGGTTACAAGATCAGATTATAGTTCGCCATAAGCTTTAGTTCGACTAATGGTGTTCGAGGAAAGTGCCTTCACAAGGTCTACGTACTTCTGAGGCACATCTTTCAATGACAGACATTGCTGCAGAACCTCTCGGTCTACAGAATCAGATGCTGCTTTTAAACCAAGAAAAAGTATCATTTCCGGACGCCGATAAGCATGCCTGCGTTCTAGAACCTGACGACTCCCTGGTTGAGGTCTGAGAGATGGTGCAACACAGTGGCTAGAGACGTTATCAGATATGGCTCAGAATAGAAGCCAGTGGCGATCCTGCTGTAACCTTCTTTTACTTTCTTCATAAAAAAGTGGCTGTATCTTCCTTAACCGAAAGATTTCTTCTGATTGTACCCTTCTGTTCCCCTACTATTGCTATTATTATTATTACACTACCCTACACCAATCTCTTCGTTATCGTTTTTTATTATTTTTTTTTACGTTCCTCACTTTTTTTCTTCTTAGATTCTCATTGTTTTGTGTGGCGCATATATATTCGGCGCACTTCTGTACCAATATATATGTGTTCAAATAAATAAATAAGAAATAAGAACCTGACGAATGGTGAATATGTGGCCGATACGGCCACGACCAGGTCTGAAGCCAGCCTGATTTTCTCGCGTTCGCAGTTCATGAGTCTTTGTCAAGCGCCCGATAATTAATGAGGTTAGTACTTTAGATGCTATGTTAGTCAAACTAATCCCTCTATGGTTATTGCAGGATGATTTTGACCCTCTTCTCATATATATTGAAACAATCAGTAACTGGGACCAGTCAGGCGGGATTACATCGAACTCCCAGGATTTAGCTAAAATATTAGTCAACCTAATCGCTAAATTTTGACCACCATACTTAAAGATATCTGGAGCCAATCCATTTGGACCAGCTGCTCTTCCTCGTTTCAGATTAGCTATATCTTTTTGAACTTCAGCTAGAGTCGTGGAACCTACTTCAATATTCCATTCAGGCTGTCTGAGAATGGTGGGTAGATGTAGAGTAGCCGAAGGCCAACTGAACTGCTCCCTAAAGTGTTCCGCCAATCGTCCGAAACATATGAACTAAGAGCAGATAAGAGTGCTGTTTTTCCAGTTTCTTTTACTAGCCAAAGCGTTAGGTCGACAGAATATATACTTTATGATTATCATCATTCTTCAGCCAGTGGAATCAACACGTAGCTATAATAAATAAGTTTTCAATCCATAATAATAAAATAATGTGCAGTTAAGTCAATCAATCCTATAACTTATTTGACTTAAAGCTGCTACCATAAAATTTTTTTATGTGATTTGACTAACATCCTGGTATTCTTTTCACCAATTTCGTAAACACAAGAAACATCAGTACTCACTTAATTTTACTATTCCTTATTCACTTCAAAGTAATTATCAGATAAAAAATTTTACCCGTTTTTTAATTACATTAGTATTTCTCATACCCTGTGTTTCCCATATTATAATGATTAGTGAAGATACAATTGAAAACCAAGCATATTGAGATGAATACCACGTTAATAATCCTAAATTAATACGCAGTATTCTAAAGAGTGGTTTATATTTGGTGATTCATGAATTAGAACCTAGTGAGAATTTATTTTAAAAGATATTCTTCATTTATATATCCACATTTCTACTGAGAAATTAGTCCATATAAACACTAGTTACAGTTTTAAAAAAATAGTTTCTCATTTCAGTTTACCCTTCGGATGTAAAGAGCTAAAAGTCAACTATACCATATATTCAAGTATAAATGTACTGAAAACCTTTCTGAAGTACCAAATTAGTGAAACTTATTTAAAACAAGTTTGACATACCTTTTGGCTGTAAACATAACCATTTGGTAATGACATTGGGGGATTTTCATCATTCATAGGAAGACCAGTCTTGTAACACGTTAATATAGAATGATCATGACGAGCAAATGGCAAATTCACTGCCAACATGTTGATTAATGGATGACAAACAGCACAGTCTCGATGTTGAGTATTTGGGTTGTAACAGTAACTGGAAGGAGCGATGTAAGGTTATAGAAAACATGACGTCCTGATTTAGTTATAAATGATGCGAAAAGACTAATGATATTAGATAAGAGGCCTAGTGTGAGTTAGACAATCTATGAATTTAATGGGACACCAGTCAATAACATCTGGTGACGTCTTGGAGGACGGGTAAAAACCCTTGAGGGACAGTTCAGCTGGTTTGTCAAACCAGCAACACTAGTCAAACTTTCTCCTTTACCCAGGCCAATGAAGACTGTTTCATCTAAAGAGGAAAAGGTCGTACGGAACTCCAACTTCTGGAGATCTGTCATACTTATTGCACGATAATAATCAATGTGTTTCTTGACATCAGGGTCGCCTTTGATTAATTGGACTAGACTGTTCCCTGAGATTGTCTGTAGAAGGGTGTGCCTGAGATGTTCATCGACTTTTGTATACAAACATAAGCTATAATGCCAAAACTATATTTAGCCAAATGTATAGATGAATTTTGCGACTCGTTATCTTATATCTGATTGGTTCGTCCATAAATTATAGTCTCGCCGGTATGGGATGTACTGTGCATCCTCTAAATGCAACGTGATTTCACAAGACAGGGAATAGTCTATGTCTACAACCACGCTTGATGACGAGTAGTTGGAGTTAGTCGAAAAGTCTGAGTATCTGTGTTATTGCTGGTAGTGGCGTGAGTAATAAGATTACTCTATGTACCGTGGAAACCAGAGCGGTTGCTGTCAATGAGTCATCTTTGGCGCCGACACGACGTTAGTCTAACTGAAAAATGTCGGGTCATCAATGCGTCAGTGAGCAGTTTCTCTCTATCCTTGAAAGACCTGACCTCTCCGAGTTGAGGATGTTAGACGACTATCAGCGTTCAATCATCAAAAAGATTGTTTACGTCTAATGACAACTACGTTTTGTAATACTGAGGTTCAGCAACACGTGTTTGAGGTAAAGGTTTGTGAATTTTTGCAATCGGTGAATACACTTTGATGTTAGATAATTAAAAGCAACGGAAAGGAAGTTTGGATCTTGGTTTCCCACTTGTTTGTACTCGTCCACAAGGAATACCTGTTATCTTCGAGAAACTGATGCTCTCTGTGGGATTCAAACTGGTGCTATGGTCAGAGATGTTACAACTGAGCTGCTCAGTTTAACTGCACAAAATTAAATTGACAAACAAATATTGGTATATTGGATAATTATAAGAGCACCCACAATATTAAACGTAGTCGTATATCTAGGTTATATTTTACAACCAGGATGTGCCTTCTACCATCTAGATATACGGTTATCCCAATGTTGGTTGTCTCACTAGAACTTGAATCTGCAACCCATCATCATAAGCACTAATCTTATTTACCTATTGTTAAGAGATGAACATATGTTACTACAGTCGGCACCTTTCTGCCATGGAGAATAAACTACAACATTTAGACTAAGTATTTACTTGTGAATAACGGGTTTGCTGACATATAAGCCAATTAGCTCCACCTTTTGTAAAGAGTTCATCGCAAAATACTACATAGGTAACGTATGAATGTATAATTATATAACTGATAGTTTATTTGGAATAAAAAAGGATACTGAGTTTTAATTGCTGTAATTCCAGCATTAACAGCCAGTTGAAACGGGGTGTTAATATTGTAAGCGTAAAATTCCATAAGTACTTCATGAGTCCGTTTAACTATCCACTCCTCAGTTAGCTTATTCTGATCCTGAGAAAGGAGAAAAACATGTACTAAAAATTAACTTTCGGACACAATTGCAATTATGCCAGATAATTAGTGAGTTAAATATTCGGCACTAAACGTGCGAAACAATAGATATCGCATTCATTTATATCACAGTGAACCAAGAAAAAACTCTACCCTTTTCTAAATATTGTGTATAATTTTTATTTCTCTAATTTCATTTGTTTCTTTTGTACTGTTATCCCGATGTTTTAATATGCGTTGAAGTTAATATTATTTCTACTCCTCTTCCTTTCAGTATGCTGATTCCCCTCTCTGTGCTAGTATGAGTCCCAAGGTCTTGTGTTTACAATCATTGAATAACTACAAACTGCTATATATATAGCCTAAAATCTACATCATAGTATACAGTTATCGCAAAAGATGTTAGGGGTTAGGCAAGACTAAGATTCAGATTATGGGATTCGTTTTTGTGTTCAACTGGTACTATATGGGTTATGTACAACGAAACAAACTACTGACTAGGGAAAATTCTCTATTCAAGAGATATATGTTCTCATATATACATAAAATTTAAAAGAAAGATCAATTTATCTACTGATAACTAATTTAGGAATATTCTATTCACTTCAATGAGGATGTGAGCTGTCAAAGTTATTAGTTATAAAGGTTTATTTTCAATTTCGACTATCTGAATATTGTAAAGACGCTTTTATCTGTGAATGGTAATGCAGCTAAAATTAGAAAGCTTTATATAACAGAGTTCTTTTTAGTTTTTACCACATACTAATTGTTAAAATCTATGGTAATTGTTTTATGGTTAATTTTACGTGAACAGAGAATATAATTAATATTTAAATGTTACACAAAACCACAATATGATGGTTTATTGTAGAAAGTTCTATTTAGTTTACCATGAACAAAAGATAAGATTTCAGTAAAATCAAGAAAATTAAACATACTGCCTTATTCTGAAGTTCTTCAGGTGTACGCATTGCCAATAAAATCATCGCCTGACCAAGTTTTGTGGCACGATAATCATCAGCTTGTTTCACTGAATTCATGTATTTTCTGGCATGCCTAAAAACCGTGAACATCACTTATTAATCAATGAAATAATTACTATCGCTACTCTAATACGGAAGAAATTTATTCATTGTTGACGGGCATTATCAAGACATCGTAACGGTATTAAGTTGAACACTCTTTCCGAACTGTAATGATTATGAGTAGAGATGGATGGTGGCTAGCGGTGGGATCTAGGACGCGCGTTTCGTCCAGTGGATGTACCAGCATACCAGAATTGATGTTCACTCCGGGACTCGAACCCAGCACCCAGAATAAATAGGGTGCAACTTGCGTCCCGAATCCCATTGCTAGCCACCATCTATCTCTGCTTATAATGCTTGTAATTTAAGGCAATATCAAAGAAATAGGCACAGGATGTACATGTGCCGATAAGAGACCGACCAATTGCAGTTGTAAACACCAATGGGAAGATCTGAACAACCAATATAAAAATGAATGTAATGATTGTGGCAAAGAGAAGTACAAGTGGATGACAATTTTATTTCATACACATAGTTCCCTCTTGAAATTTGCCGAAGCAATAGCAATCAAACGTCTAAAACCAGATCTATGTATACAAAAAGAGACAGTAATAAATCTTTACCCTGGTAACAATAACCCCCTTTTTTATTCATTTATTTCTCTGTTTATTTATTGCGTCATTATTCAAGACAAAATTTTATGACCTCATTAACCCTATCGGAATCTTCGCTACACCATCATACATTTATTCATCCTTAATCACTCTCTTATGTATAAATATTCCAATATCTGTAATAATTTTGAATTTAAAATATTTTAGGTTGTAAGCAACTGATGAGAACCTAACGAAATAAAATGAATTCATATTATTCTGCACCAATCTTTGTTCTTGCTCTCTTTAGGACAATTTTATTTTCAAGCATAATTATATAGGGTGAATTCTCATCCGTGGTTATCAACTTAAGGATTAATATTATGTACACGTCTACAAACCATGACGAATTTGTCAAACTGTACTGAATTCAGTCATCAACGGGTGTGTTTAAAGGAATGCTTCTCTTTTTTAAGCACCTACTTAAATTCCGTTTATATTCTAGTACGCCATAGAACTATACTGATTTTCGGTAGTTAACGAAACTGCCGACCAGTGTATGTACTTAGTGTCGTTACTAAACACCAAGCCGAGCTAGATTTAATGGACTTTGCCTGTCCTCAATAATATATAAATAATCAGTGGCTGTACTTGAAAGAAAATAAATTGAAGAGCGAATGAAAGTGTAGAGTAAAACCGACCGTGAATTCATTCTGAAACACGTATTGAGTGTATACAGTGTTAAAGGCTAACAAATAGATTATTCTGTTAGTTTTAAATTAAAATGTCTAAAAAACAACGTAGCTGGTCTATAAAGTGGTGCACAAGATGAACCATCGTTGTGGTTGAATCTGTTGAAGCGTTTCAGCTGCCGTGATGCAGTATGAAAAATCATGCCATTGAGTAGACAGACAAGTTATTAGGCATAACTCATAACTGTAACTAGTGGCTATTGCCCTACATTTTGCTTGTGTTCTGTTTAAACAATACCAGAGAACAGCAATACTAGCTTTAAAAATAAGTTTGATGAATATCGTTTGCACTTTCCGACTGTCGTTAAAATTGACATATCTTTAAACTAATTCCTTGAGAATACTGTACGGTAAATCACTTATTGCCCAGCTTACCTGGAATAATCAAGAACAAGTGAATTTCATAACTGCACTTTCTTATCAATATCTTTAAAAAGATCACTATGAAATATTTGGTCAACTTATTGACATGAGAAATAACTAAATCAATTATAATTGGGTTTGCCAAGCTTTCACATAGATATTTCGTCAAGTTACTTTATCAACAACTGTTTTGTGATATAGCGAAAATGGATAATAGAATTGGTTGTAAAAACCATTATATATATATATATATATATATATATATATATATATATATATATATATATATAGAGAGAGAGAGAGAGAGAGAGAGAGAGATATTCGTGGAATCGAGACATAGGTATCAAAAAGTCTAAGCAGCTGATAAGTATTCAAAAACTATTCATTCACACCTAGAAAGTCCGCAGGTAATCTGTTCTTAGTTTCAGGTGTGGTATGAAAACTTGTTGTTTCTCCAAAATTATACCATTGCTAACTCGATTATAATATATCCAATTGAATTGGTAACCTCTAAAACGAAGTATGCTATGAATTGACTGGTATCAGTTGTCCAATACCATCACTACAAGCACTTATTGAGTTTCAGTTCAACCAGTGCCAGTGGATAGAGGCTTCTTCATTGAAGTTTATGAGGTAATCAAAACTTATTTTTCCATTTCTGGAGGCTGTTAAACTGGTAAAAGCTAAAGGTTATTTACATTACAATTATCTGACAATGATAATTATTAAGTGAAAGGCACTTAAGAATATACATGAAAAGCTGTGAATACAACTATAGTATTCACATAAAATGAACTATCAATTTGACCATTTAATAGGTAAAAACTGGTAGTAAATAAGCTCTACATGAAATCGACAAGAAAAAACAATTAAAGTCAACAACTTACTGGATGGCTTCAATTCGTTTTCCTTGCTTGACAAGTAGATAGAACTCGAATACACGAAGATCAAATTCATAATACGACTAAATAAAAAGTTATTGAGAAACAAAACATCGTAAAGTATAAATTCATGGAAGCGATAAAAAAACTTTTGACCAGAAAATATGAAAGCCGAAATCCTTTCATCAACATTTATTCGTTCTTTGGAAATTTACAGCACCTCTCCAACACTTAAGTTTGCTTACGGTTAATTTTATCAAGCCCTTCAATTAACTTATTTAACAGACAGTGATATTTGAACAGTAACAATGTCCATGTTTTTGTACTATCATTATTATCGTGTCTGTAAGAACATGTAAGCTTGATCAAATTTGAAAGTCTACGCATATATCCCTCTCTCTAGCTTAAGTCGCCCGATGAATCGTTTGCTTTCCTATATATATGGTTGAATCTAATTAACTGACTCGACTATTTATTCAATTTTTTTATCCGACTCTTAATTCGTTCGCTCGCGCACATTAGCTTTTCTGTTCGAATTCGCTTGGTATTGTTGTGGCTTAGTGATCTGTGATATTAAATAGTAAACTGTAGTAAGCGCTTCGTGTTGTCTTCTAAATTCAAAGACTGTTGGGATTTATTTAATAACGGTTATCTCGAAGCTAATCCACTACAAATTTTCGCATGTAAACAATGTTTAATCAATCAAATATGTGGAAGCAGTTTATGAAAATATGATGTTCTAGCAAATTTAATACTAGTGATTCTATTCCCGAAGTGAATATTATGTGAATGAGAGCAGTCAAACTAGGTTTAAAAGAGATGGATAGTTTTAACTAGTTTTCTATTCTTTGCTCATTTTACATATTTCTGATGACCTTCCAGACAGTTCTGAACCAGCTTCCTTGACAACTTATACGGTACTGTCAGCGCAAATCCGAAATGTGACTGGTGATTAATCAAGCACTTACACTATCGACTTACAAGGGATGATTTCATAGTTTAGTTATATAATATACCCTTGTGGGCCAGGGTAATTTTACATTGGTTTTCAGGAGAACCAGACACCATACAGACTTTCACGTGACAACCCAAACAGTACAGCTCAATCCCGCTTCACAGGAGAACCAGACACACAAGGAATGATTTGGTAAAACATTTTTACTGATAAGTAAAAAGTACTAGTTTGCTTACATCGTTTTTCTTCAACTTGAAGTTAGCTTCTTGCAACCAAGAGAATGCTGGACCTGTATCTCCTTCTAAAAGTGCCTTCTCAATAGACACAGCTTCATCAAAAACTTCCATCATACATAGATCACCCAGTTCGGCTTTCTCCTGAGCGAATTTCAAAGCCGATAAAGGTTGACCACTTGTAAAAAGATAATCTGTCAAGTGTCTTTGAAATCTTGCTAGACAAAGTGCGCGTTCATCAACAGAATAAGTAGAACGGCGTTTAAGTGTAGTGTCTGATTCACTACTATTAACTTTAGAAATTGATTCTTCAGACTTTTGATTACTACTAGCGTTGAAATGTAGCTCATCTGCAATAGTGCATCATTTAGAAAAACAGTGAAAATTGAGATAGATAAAGAAAAAAGACATTTTTCTCCGAAATACGATTACTAGTGTCAAATGATACAAATGAGCGGAATGTGGTTATATAACTTAATGTCAAAATTCAGGATTTTTTACTACTTTTAACGTAACTTGTTATTTGGTTACAACTGTAGTAAAGCTGACTATGACGGTACCTTAGTCAAGTTTGTCACACTATAAAATAGTCACGTAAAAAGTTGAAATAAATAAATACAAATTAGTAATACTAGAATGTCTAAAATCCAAATGATCCTGAAGCCGTAACGCTGAAAACTTTTGGTTACTAACTGTCATACAACAAAACAATAATTGATTCTGATCTTATGATAATGTAATTAATAGTTTGTCCATCAAAAAACTTAAGTAGTTAGAACCTTTATACATGTGTTCTACTCACTGCCTTCTCTTATCAGGGTGTTGTTTTCGGAATTGAGAGGACGAAAAGCGAATGTCCATTCTCTTAACTGGGTCGATTGATACAGACCCACCTAGGGGAGTTGGAAAACCCTCATTCCAAACTAATGGTGCACATGGGCTCCAGGATTCTGAGCGAAAAAAGGCGTATGAACCAATTATTGGTCACCGGCTACCAAGGGACTGCATCTCCTTACGTTGATCCAATGGACTGGACCTCCAGGTCAAAGGCTCCGGGTGTGGCCCCCTAAGAAAACAGCTTGCTTCCGTTTGGGCACCCGGGCAGTATCCCAGCCCTTATATAAATCGAACGATTTATGCGGCGTATATTTATTTGGTGCTTCATTGCACCCATGTTTATGTTTAAATAAATAAACTGTCGTCCCGAAGAAAAAACACGCACAGATCCGAGGTTTACTAAGATCAAATAAGAAATGCTTGAACATCGTCATCAGCACTGGCGCAGCAAATGCAATGAAACGTTACAAATTGATTTGGAATAAGCATATAAACACAATCTGTTTGGCTCAGCACAAATATGAAAATTAATTAGTACAAACTGTAATCAAGCACCCTAATCGGTTGTTCCTACGTTGTTACTGACTGATTGACTGTTCCTACACATCAACTACAGAATAAGAACGCACCCACAAATTTTCAGTTTATGCACGGAATGGAGCGCATTTCTAATATCAGAAGATTAAGACGAAGCAGAGACTATGGTTGATTACTTCGAGATGGTCTTCATTCACGAGCCTTCTCCCGACAAAGGACTGGGTCGAGAAGTCATGTAGCTAAACCGAATAACCAGGATGACGCACTAAATGGACTGAGGTCCTTAGGCACAAAAAAGTCAGAAGGGTCAAACGAGCTAGATCTAAGAATTTCGAGAGAAATTGCGGTAAACATGACTACTCCGTTCGCTACGATATTCATATCACTCAGCAAGTTACATGTGGAATGAAAGGACGCAACTATCACTCCAGTTAACAAGATAAGATTAAGACTATTTTCGTCAGACTTCAAACCCGTCAACTTCACTAGTGTTTTAGTTAAAATATTGGAAAGAATCATCAGGCCGATCATTCTGACCATTGCGGAAACCAAAAGCTTTTCAAACAGTGGAGGTAGGTTCAAAATAGCATCATCATGCTGAAGCAATCCTATAGAAAGGAAGACGGGCGGAGTCATCTTGTAGCAGAAATTCAAAGGGTGTTGTCTACGATGACTTCAGTGGAGCGTTTGATAAGGTGCCACATAATAGACTCTTATTTAAGCTTGTAAACGTATAGATTTCTGGGCCTTTACTACAAGAAGTCAAACAATTTTTGGTAGGCAGCAACAGAAGAACAGGAATAAATTCCATAATCTACTTTCAGAAAACCAGTGCTCGACGGAGTACCGTAAGGCTCCGTTCAGGACTCGTTACATTTAATACTGTGATTAAACTCCAAAGTACTGTCTGATCCTCAATGCTACTTCATGCCAACGACCTAAACTTTAGTCAGAATTAACCACAGCCATGTCATTTAAAGGGATGATAATTACTAAGAGAACTTATTGAGAGGTTCGACTGCGACAACCTATCCAACCCAATATATTACATGCAATTTGAAAAGCGACGGGTTTGTCCTTTAAAAAATACTGACCTGAGGCCCGGGTAAACATCCCACTATCAAGCAAACACAGTTGACTAAGGTGTCCTATTCTGCGTTTACATGATTTCAACAGCTTCCTTTCTTCAATACATACAAATTCAGCCTAAAGAAAAGTTAGTGAGTTTGTATTTCCCTACTTTGCGCTTCACGCCACAAACGGTTTCTAGAACTCTGCTAAGTGCTGCTGTAGCTTTTGTGATATCTGTTGCATTTTCCAACTCGTCAAGTGACTTATTTAAAGCAGCTATACCTTTCTCCATGTCTCGGTGATTGCGTCTGTACCGCTTGTTTAGTGACTCATAGCTAGCCTTTGAAAGGGAGTTTACGTTTTTGAGTCATCATACCTTAACAGTTGTGTACTCCATAACCTCTACCTCATTTTGGTTTTTATTGTCGCCGGACATAGTCAGCTGATTACGGAGGGTTTCAAACTCCCCGGCTGATCACTTTAACAAAATCGCTATATCAAGTTTAACTTCTTTTCTCTACATCCATTTTATTTATGAATAGCCTTGTGTCCTTAATCTAGGACATTTATCCGTCTTTTATATTCTTTATGTTTCTACTTCAGGCTAGCAGCGACTCATTGAAAGTAGGCACGGAAGCTAGGTAGATGAAATTTCTCTTACATCCACACGTATTTTAAACACTATGAAGTTTGAGCCTAATGGCTTTATTACTCTTTTGTCAATGAATCTTATTATAAATGCTTCCCCATCTACTCTTTATAAATAGTCCTTTGTTCTTGAAAGATGGGTGCGGTTATTCTGTGGTGTTTAGTAATAATATTTTAGATTCTCACAACTGCATACGCATTTTAGGAGAAGGGATCATACAATACATATGAAATTCTAGTCAATTACTCAGATCCTATTTATTAGCTTGTGCTGATCAATTCGATCAGTAGAACTTGCCCACTACCCCGAGGAATGATCGTCGATGTGTAGAGACGAAAAGCTGCACAAACCCAGTATGAGATTTTATGATCTATATTCGGCCTCATGTACTTATGATGTTGACCAACAATTTCAACTGTCACTCAAAAAGTACACCAAACTTAGCTCAGTACAATTACTATATGCGACCGACAATGTTATCCAGCTGTTCACCGTAGCTGATTAACCTATGTTCCCAAATGAATGCAAATTAACTTTTAAAAAATCCGTGAACTGAAAACACTTTCCTCCACCTTCTGAGATTTTTAACAGCTCATACTTTGAGTGGTTATTTGGCTTTACACCCTTTTCATTCAATGGGAGTAAAATAAAACAGTGATTCGGCATTTAAACAGTGAATTAAAACGAAGATTGCTGACCTATAACTGTATCTCTATGTCCTCAACCATTTGACTACATTAGAATATGTGAACGTGTTTCTCAAGGTAAAGTTGTTAATCTCCCGAAAGTGGAGTCTGATATTCGATGAGACCATTCTTTGAACAGCCACTCCATCTGTTCGCTTTGAATTTTAACGTTCAACGTCTGGGGCTAAAAACACAGACCATCTTCAACGTTTTACGGAAGGCAGATCTCAAAATCCTGAGCTTTCCAATAATAAGTCGAGGGACGTGTGATCTTAGTTCTTGAGGATGAGACACATTTTCAACATATGGACTTAGCAAGTGAAGTACTGTGAAAACGGGGTTACTGTGAGAGCACATATGAGCCGAACTGGGATCACCTTACTGCTTTTGGGACTCAAAGCATCTTCTTAAATGAAGTTGTAGCGGTAAATAAATCCCCAAAATAAATAGCTCTGTAAGTTTTCAACATTGGATGCTGACCATATGTTTTAGTGGACTCATCTAGCTGAAGGCGCTCGGTCATGCATCCGCACCAGATCACGTGTGGTAACGCTGTGCTCAACATCAACTGCAATCGCTAGCCAGATTAGATCAGAGAATTCCGATATATTGGTTATCGCCAAATACACTCATCCGATCTCCTCGACTCTGTCTTTTGATTTCTCTGGGTGGTTACGAATTATATTAGGTGTTACTGGTAGAAGCGTTGTCAAACACTGAATACCTGTGCCATCTTCAAAGCCAAACCGGGAAGAACATTCCCAATGGTTTGTGTGTTCTACATGCATACGCGGCCAAAATTAAATGTTAGATCACCTTCATACCTTTAGGCAATCCTGAAGTATCTATGTAATTAAAGCCAGCTTCTATCCAATGCCTATCCAGAAATTCGGAATGACTGATCGTAAACAAACTGATGAGCTTAATACACTTAATGGTAAGCAAAAAATATGAAATAGACTGTTCGAATTCTTTCATACCACCGTATTCTTTAGGGTTTCACGAGGAGTACTTTCGAGTTGCAGTACGTTTAGTTGCTGAGAAGTTTCTTAGTAATGTATATTTCGTAAAAGTTTAGAAAATTGACAAGCAGATATTCCAAAATTAGTTCCAATTTCAGCAATAGGGGTGATGTGTTCTGACCCTGAAATCCAACTGGTTCATTTTATGTCAAATACTGAGGTTGCGGATGATAAAGCTTCCAAACCATTTTTGAGGATTATGAGGATATTAATTGTAATGTTGGTTTACTGCGTTGGACCTATCGAATCTCTTACCGAATTACAAGGCGGTTACATCTATAATGTGTCTTATGTATCATAGAGCTGTACGAGAGGATTTTGTTACTCTCAATAGACTTAATCAAGTTGGCCTGCTACACATGACTTTGAGTAAGTCTTCATTGGCCATTTTCATCTGTGACTGCCAGAACATGCTTCCATGAAGAAAAAACCCATTTTGTTCCACCTTAAAAAACAAAAACTAGTGATTTTGTGTGTTCTAAGGCTCACCTATGGTGTACACTTTGTGGTTTACAATATTGCCAGTAAGTGCAATACATCTATCGGTGGACCATATCAAAGTATCCATAAATAAGTACTGCTTTTCTGATGCTCACTTGGTCACAATACATAATCACTGATCACAATGAAGACTCATCCACTACAAGTGAACTGAGCCAAGATTAAATATAACCTTACTTTTTCCAGTCGGTTTTTAAGATCATGAAAAAGTTCAGATCTGTGAACTAGAGAGAGACAGAAAATAATAATATTGCAAATAAAGTCACTGTGTCGCTGCCTTTGCTCTGTTCGAAAAGCATGCATGAAATATTGAAGCAATATTTCGTCAATTCATCCAGGTAACGAATTGGTCTGCACCTTAGAAGTTTGTAAATCTTACTACTCATTAGTATTATGAATGATTAATCGGTGTAAGGAAATATTGTAGTCATTTCCCTCACTGTCTGTTGTGGTCTATTGGCTAAGCTCGTGTATGGACCACTAATAATAATTGGTTTAACGTTAGAATAGCGATGATAGTCATATCGTTAGTTCAACGTTATGATTACTTAACAGTTCTCTTATAAGTTGTGCTTAAAATTAGATATGTGGAATCAATGCAGCTACCATAGTAACCTTACAGGTAACGTACTGTACTATATCTTTACGGTTATTGATTCTGGAACGTCAGAAGTTAAAAAAGCTGAATGGTGCCAATAAAACTGGGTTACATGATCACATTAAAAAGCATGCTGCAGGAAAACTGGTTAACTTATTGCATAATTTTTCTAAATATGATGAGAATCTTAGTAAGTACTTGACCATGGTTTAATTCAAAATGTTTTGTCTAAAAACCACTTATTAATAGTAGTATCGATCGTATCAATTTACTAAACATATCTTCAACCAAAAACGTTTTAGTAGTAGTTAATATTGGTATATATATAGCCAGTCTAAGTGAAAGAATATATATAAGAAGCACTTCAAACAGTTAATTAACCAGAAAAAGAAATAATAAATCTCGCCTGGGTTGCTTTCTGAATTCGCCGTTATTGCCAGGGTTAGTTGTATGGGTTCATAGTACATGCTCACAGGGAATTTGTTCTATGTTTCCCTCCAACTTTTTTTACTTGCCTACCCTTTTTATGTTTTGGATTAATATAACTCAGCAATTGTCAAGGAATACCTAACTTTTGTATCCAGTATTTTAAAAAATTTAACATAACACTTATATATCAAAAGTAAAAGATCTGGGGAGTTGCGGGTAGCATAATATTGCAAACTATTTTTTTGGAATGTTTATGTTAATTAAATAAAATAGGTGAGACGGTATGAGGAAAAAATATTTTAAAATAAACACGGGACCTTGTTATATACGTGGTTAGATTTTAGTCTGCATCTCAAACTGTCAATATCCTTGACTGACTAATCGGATGTGGCTAGCTAACTGTTTTAGATTTATCGTTTTTACATGTCGATTCCGCAACTGTTTTGTCAGTTAAACGATCTAAGAACACGTATGATGTTTCATGATCGAAATAAACCGGTTTTAACCTATCAATACTTACGGAGTCTACGTTCCCATGTCTTCCTATCATAAAATATTTAGAGTTCCTTGAGACGACTTTAAAAGGACCTTCAAATGGAAGGCTAAGTGGTGCTTTTATTTTGTCACATCTTATCCAGAAGTGCGTGTGATTGCTAAGATATTTAGGTATATATATGGCGTTTCTGACTATTAGTATTAGGGTTAATAAATTCACCTGGTAGTCTCAGAGTTGTTCCGAAAAACCAGTTCCGCAGCTGAACACTGTGCGTCAGTTTCGACAGATGTTCGTATTCCCAACGTAACTAAAGGTAAGAATTCTCTCCACTGATTGGGGTTTGAGTGAGATATAAGGGCGGTTTTTAGCTAACGGTAAAAACGTTCTAACATCCCATTAGCCTGAGGATGATATGCAGTGCAGCGTATCCTGTTGGAGCCTAGAAGTTTGGCCAAGCTATTAAATAGTTCGGATTCAAATTGTGCTCCTCTATCCGTCGTTATTGTTATGGGTGTACCAAAAGTGGTTACCTAGTTTTGCTTGAAAACCTTGGCTACTGTCCGCTTTCGGGATGGATATTGGGAATCTGGTAAATCGATCTATGCGTGTAAACAGATGATTAAAACCGTTTGAACGTGGTAAAGGACCTACCAAGTCGATATGCACATGGGCAAGACGTGCATCTGGTTGCGAGAAAACACCTATGGGTGAATTTGTGTGACGATTAATCTTTGATTGTTGGCATGCTGAACACTCTCTAACCCATTTGTGTACATCCTTCTGTAAATTTGGCCATATATATCTGGCATTGATTAGTTTAGTTGAAGCTTTTGCGCCAGGACGATACAAAGAATGGAAATTACTATATATCAATATTCGCATATTTTTGGGAACGAAAGGTCGCGGCATTGCCTTGGTTGTGTTACAGAAAATTAGAATACCATCGATAGGTGATGGTAACTGTTTTAAATTAAGACTTGAATTGTTTGTTTTAAGTAGGTTTTGTAATTCTAGATCCTGCTCTTGTTCATGTCTCAACGTCTGGAAGTTTACTGTAGACTGCTGTAGCACGTTCATTTCTAGTCTGGATAAAGCATCTGCCGCCTGGTTGTCCTGACCTT